AGTTCTACCTATTTTTAAATCCGGAAACAAGCAGGACTACTCGAATTATAGACCTATATCGCTGACAAGTGTGCCATGCAAAATTTTTGAACATGTCGTCTACTCCCACATCATAAACTATTTGTCGGAAAATAAATTCATATGTAACAGCCAACATGGTTTCAGGTCGGGATATTCATGCGAAACCCAGCTTTTTGAGTTTGTTACAGATTTGCATAACAATTTTCACTCCTCTAAACCCACTGATGCCATCTTCATCGACTTCTTTAAAGAATTTGACACGGTTCCTCACCAGCGACTTCTATACAAACTCTCTGAATTTAACATCCATCCATCTCTTATACTCTGGATAGCTGAATTCTTAACCAACCGTAAGCAAGCTGTTCACCTTGGGCATGCCAGATCACCAAGCCTGCCTGTACTGTCGGGCGTCCCCCAGGGCAGCGTTCTCGGTCCGCTTTTATTTCTTATATATATTAACAATCTTCCTCACCAGATAACATCATCTATTAGGCTTTTCGCGGATGATTGCGTAATTTACCGTCGCATCTCTAACCCTGAAGATTCATTACTACTACAACAGGATCTAAATGTTCTGTCTCATTGGTGTAACACGTGGCAGATGAAGGTCAATGTAACCAAGAGCAAACTTTTAACATTCACTGGTCAGCGATCTCCTATTGTGCGTAACTACACCTTACTAACACTGCCTCTCGAAAAAGTACCAACTTACAAATATTTAGGCGTAACATTTTCTGATGACCTAACTTGGAATACTCATATTGACAATATAGTGGCTAGTGCATGCAGATCTCTAGGATACATAAAACGTAACATACACCCCACTCCCCGTTGTGTTAAACTAACTGCCTATAAGACTTTCGTACGATCAAAATTGGACTACGCCAACTTCATTTGGTGGCCTCATCAATCGTATCTCATTACTAAACTCGAATCAATGCAAAACAAGGCCTCACGTTTTATAACACACGACTACTCGCGAACGTCAAGCGTAACTGCACTAAAATTCAGCCTCGACCTATGCCCTCTATAAAGAACTCAACTTGCTCGTCTTGTCCTTTTTCACAAGACTTACTATTCCTCTTCTGATTTTCAAAACACTAACTGTCACCCATCACCTCACATCTCCTTGCGTCATGACCACAGCCTAAAAATTAAACCTCTATTCGCCAGAACTAATAAATTCCAAAATTCCCCATTTTCTCTCGCTGTTCCTAACTGGAATTCCCTTCCTGAATCCATAGTACGTGAATCTAACCCTAAGACATTCCGTGAACTATGAAAGGCACACCTGAAAAGCGTTGATCCTTGACATGTTCATCTGTTGATTATTTTTTATACATGTTATGTTCTGATATCTGTCCTATTAGTTTGTAGTTTTTTTTTGTTTTCTTTTTTGCGTTTTCGTATTATTTACCTTGTCGTCACTTTTTTGCCATCTGTATATGTCATTTGATCCCCCCTCATGTAATGCATTTCATTTGAAATGCCTTTGAGGTACAATAAACTGAACTGAACTGAACTGAATTTTAGAATAGCGCACGGAATAACTTTGCGTTCTGAAAAAAAATAATAGTAATCACATCGTTTGCACTGCTCATGTGCCGAGTTCCATGCTGCGTTTTGAATTACTTCATAGCGACTACGGTATTTCTTGGCGTATGCTATTCTAAAACTCGCTATTGAAAAAACAGAAGGTTATACAAAACTTGGGACTTATGACTACACATACCATTAAGTGTGACGCACATATCTCACGCGTTTGTGGTAATGCATTGTTTCGGAGACCAGGACCTCTTAAGACGAAATTGAGACATTCTAAACCAGAAACAAAACTCACTGCGTAGAATATGCTATCAGACCGATAATAAAACAATACTATTTATCTTTTTGTTTATTAATTTTATATTAACTTTATTTATGCGCACCCGCCGGCAATATGAAGGTGAACGCCGGACCGTCGACCGGTCCGTGCTATCAGCGCCATTAGGCGGCTGCCGTGGCAGCTCGCTTTCTTATCGCGCGCTTCGCCGAGATTAAGCGCTTGGATCGAGCGCTGTTCTCAGCTCTGCTGCTACTCCCCGCAAAAAGCGCGAGGATTGCGAAAGGAGCCTTTCAGACGCTATCGGTAGACAATGTGATTTAGTAGTTTTTTTGTTGTGATATGTGCTAAACTGGAAGGCTGCGGAACAAATCAAAAAGTAAAAAGAACAGTTATTAGCGTTCGCAGTTATTATCGTTTGCTCATGAATGAAGAAAGCGGTTGAAGCACTGATAAACTAAGCCGAACAACGTCCGCTCTAGTTCACGTGCAATGTGCAAATAATTTGCCTGCAATGACGTGGGCACGGTGCCCACAAAAAGCGATGCCAAAATCGAAACCCACTTCCACGCTTTCTGCAGGGAGTAGCAGCAGATCTGAAAACAGTGCTCGATCTAAGCGCTTAGTCTCGGCCAAGCGCGCGATAAGAAAGCGAGCCGCCACGGCAGCCGCGCCATGGCGCTGATAGCACGGACCGGTCGACGGTCCGGCGTTACAGTCTCCTCCGGGAGGTTGTTCCGCGCTCTGTACGTGTTAACAGAGAATGAATTTGGTAAACAGTCTGTTTATAACGACATACATCAATCTCTTAAATATTATCACATTGAGAGAATATTTAGAATGGCTCAAGAGATATGGTATTTTATCAGGTGTGTATTATGCCGTTTTATAGTGCCAGCAGTTTGTAAAGTTCTTCTCAAGCATATTTCGCCGCTAAGATAGGGAGCGTGCAAAAAATTGCCGCAAAGGTAAGTTTTCTAATTACTCCCGAAAATATAGCTTTCGCTTCAGGCTGAATGACGCAGAATTACAATCGCTTATAACTTGAATCTAGAATATTAAGCGCAAGGCTTAGTTTTTTTCTTATCTATATCATGGTTAAGTTAAAGCCTTACTCGGGATGACGCAAGAATCCATCTTTTCCTCGCTCAAGGACTGATAATTCCGATAAAGAAATTTATAATTTTCTAAGTAATATTAGTGTATTTTAGAAATATATTCTCTCGTGCAATTCAAGAGTGGAAGCGGCAACCAGAGTTGGCAGTAAATGGCTCATCCGCCGATTTGCTGGAAGATTTTCGTCACTGCATTGAACACAGTGCCATAATCACGCGCACCTCGCGGATTCGTTTCTCTTAATGTCCTGCGATGCGGCTTTTTATGTTAATGCGCTATTTGTTTCAATCATTCGCGATATGTTATTACGCAGCGCAGCAGTTTATGTTTAGTCTCCTAGGCATCGTTATTTGATGTTGTATAGATTGGCATATTTCGTTTCTTGTTGCATATGCATGTTATTTGGTGTATCATCTGTATGAATGCCGTCACGTGCATGGTCATTGCTCTACAGCTGTTTAGGCCTTCAGTAAATAAGTAAACAAGCAACCAACCATTTCGTTTGCAGGTGTTCACCTAATTTTACTTGTCTTTTCTAAGATATTTACACCGTGGTGATACCGTTTTGACAACTTGACGTGGTAACGTGCATAGACTGTAAAAAAAAAAGACCGTGAGTTTTCTTTCCCGCAGAATACGCGGACAGCTAATCACTACTGTTTGCTGAATCAGCTCAGCGAATGACAATGCCAAAACATATGTTTAGACCAAAAAGCGAAGTCTGCGATGTAGCATCGAGCAATGCAAAACGTCACGCTTGCATTGCTTGATGCAACATAGCAGACTTCGCTTTTTGGTATAAACATATGTTTCGGCATTGTCACTCACTGAGCTGATTCCGCAGACAGTAGTGATTGGCTGTCCGCGTATTCGGCGGGAAAGAAGACGCACGGGCTTTTTTTTTTTTAGAGTGTATATAGCTCGCGACTGCTGAACATTAACCTGTCCCATTGCTATTAATTTACTCCAGCTGAAAAAAAAAGCAATGCAAACCTCACAAACGAAACTCACTGGAATCACGTGAGATAAACGCATCGAGACTAAGCATTTTATTGATGCCATCGCAAAACCTTCCACTATAGCCTGCTCGTCACTAGGCTGACAGTGCGGACGAAGCTACGTACTCGTTGGAACAGTCGTACGTCTATCTTTCGCGGCGTGATCAGGCCCTCACCAATTAGGATAGGGCCAGCTCGAAATAAGAGGGGAAAACGTGAGAGTACAGATATAGTTTTCCTTCATTAAGTACAAGCTGTCCTTATCTTGGAATCTTGCACCAATTAGCTCAACTCAAGCCCATCACTCTCGTCTATACCGACGCGCAGAGAGCGAGGTCAGGTGATGAAAGGAAGGCTTCTGATTGGTCCGGTGAGCGTGTAGCTTCCAACGCACTGTCAGCTTGAGGGTGAACGGAACGCAGCATGCAGCCAGCGAGTCAAGGACCACATTAAAAAAAACAAAAAAAAAAACAAGAAGCTTATGCGGCGAGAAAATGATTAGTGGGTAGACCTGAAGTTGGCTGCCTTTTATACACTGCACTCGTCGAACGCCTGTGAATGTGAAAGTAATACGATGGATGCCAGCGTTCCGCGTTCTAACGCGATTGACGAGTGCGGTGGAGACGAAGGCAGCCAGCTTTAGGTCTACTCACTAGTCATTCCAACCAAAGCTCGAAGTTCTGACGTCATCGCGAGCTCTCGTCTGCCCCTCTTCCTTAGTTTCTCGGCGCGTGTATTGAGCCAACTGGGACAAGTCACGCCGCACCTTTTCTGTGCAGGCGTCACCATCTTGAATCATGAGTGTTCTAGTATGCAGGGAAACATTGTTTTCCGCTCGCCCCGACATTACAGAGTGTTAACATTTTACATCAAGCACCACTTTATTCTGCTTTTTTGCCTCGTCTATATTCTTTGCCTTATATCCCATTATAATGCATTCTTTTTCCTTCGTCGCGCATAACGGATATGCGAGCTACGTGGCTAGGGACGAGCTTCTAAGAAAACTCTCTGTAGCAGGCTGACCAGAAGAGGGAAGGACGTACGGGAATGGTTGGAGGCGGACTTCTTCATGGAGCCGTTGTGTCCCTCGTTGTCCTTCTTCTTGGCTTTGGGCGACGGGATGAACTTGGCGGCGCGCACCCTGAGCGAGCCCCCAGACCGGCCCGAGTCCTGCGTCTTGGACACGAGGATGCGGGGTGTGCCGTCCTGCGTCCACGGCTCTCGGAAGGCCTCAGGAAGCAGCTGCTTGTCGTCGAACAGGTGCTGGTACACCTGCACCGCAAGCGGAGAGCCCTCTCTAGAGGTTTGCGCCTTCTTTGCACAGCCCAAATGGCGACGAACCTCTGCCGCAGTTCGTTCACACGAGTGATGGAACCGCGTGCGCGAAGCGCTTTGCGGACGTGGTCCTTAACACTCGGCGAAACACGTTTTCCGGCTTCTCGGCTAATTACTCGGGTTTTTTAAGCCTTTGAGTCCTTGATTATCAGTTACGTTTTAGTATTTAGAATCTACTTTAAATCGACTATTCACATTTAAGTTCGCGAGCGAGGTTGGCGTTGATTTCTGAAGAAAAGCTATTGCTGTCACATTTGGGTCGTACTAGAAGGGTACTGCTTTATGACGCCCAAGAGGACTGCCATCCGGGTTGTTTTAATTTCAGCGCTAATTTAATCATTTTAAAGAATTATAAAGCGCGAAGAGGACATGAACAAAGGAAGACACAAGCTGAACACAAACAGCTAGCAATAATTTTCAACTGACTTGATGCTGAATGAATTAGAAACACATAGGTATCCCATTTCTTCTAATCTAGCTACCAATACACAAAAGCGCCGTACCAAAAACAAATAAATCAGCAAACAAGCGTGTCCCTCCCCGAAAGTCTACCTGAGGGCATGAACCTTCACAGAGCCGTCAAGAAATTATACATTTTTGTCATTAAAAATAGCAAAAGCGTGTTTGCCTATGTGACGCCAGGAATTTTGATAATATATGCTTGATTTCCTGTTTCGTCATGTCTTCATCTTTTTAACAAAATTCGCCAACTCTGAAGTTGGCGCAAACACCTCGCTTGAAGTATTTTGCAAGCTATCCCCGAGACGTTACGGAATGCAGGTTTGTCCTTTTGTGATCTGTCATTAAACTGTGGCGGCACGCTGCAGCAAAATAAGACGCAGAAGTCTGCGGTCATGCGCGAGATCGAAACACTTGAACGCAGCCAGCTCGAGATGACTGGAACGGCAACTGCGCGGCCAGCAGTCTGTAATCTTTAGATTTCTTCACGCCTTGTGAATGTTGTAAGTATACTTTTTTTTTTTTTTTTTTTAGCAAACGAGACCACCTCCTTATTACAGCTTGCTACAAACTCGTAACCCTGAGCACATAACAAGATCTCTTGAGACCTGGCCTGACGATTGCTATCACCCGGTGAGTTTGGATTGGGGACGATGAACGTTTCCCAAAACAACGCATTAATAGGCGGCCCAACAAGGCTTGCTATCGCTGCCGTGAACTTCAAGTTGCCGGAATTCTGGGCTGCCGACTCGGAACTCTGGTTCCTGACGATTGAGTCAACCTTCTGAAAGAACAAAATGACATCGCCATTGACGAAGTGCGACCAAGTAGTTTCCGCTCTGCCACAGTCATCAGCAGCAGTGGTTCGGGACATTCTTCGCGCTGCACCACAAGGTCAACCCTACGAGCACTTGAAGAACGAACTGATCAGGCGAACGACAGAGTCAGAACACCGTCGACTACAGCAGCTCCTCACGGCCGAAGAGTTGGGCGACAGGAAAATAACGGAACCCCTATGTCGCCTCTAGCAGCTCCTATAGGAGAGAGAGAGAGAGAGAGAGAATAAACATTTATTGTGGTCCTTATTAGTCCAGGACGTCATCTATAAACTCCCGGCATTTTACTATATGTTTGACAAGCAAACTCCAGAGTAGAGTGCTGTGTGCGGGTGGGGGAGCGATCCATTCCTCCCAGCAGCTCGGGTGAAGTGTTTTCGGTATTGTTTTGAGGGTCTCTTGTAGTGCTTGTTGGTTGTGAGGGCAGTCCCAAAGGATATGTTTATTATTAGGGTATCTGTGGCACTTTGCGCACTTAGGTTGACCCTCGCGTCCCAACAAATGATGCGTTATGTGTGGTGTGAGGAGGGTGCCAGTCTGGGCTCTTCGTACCAATGTAGAGTGCAGTCGGGTCAGAAATTGTGAGGGGGAAGGGAGGGTGGTCCTGTTCTCTCTCCATTCCAACAGTGTGTTGGTTCTGTTGGTGTGAAGTGTCTTCCTGTGTATGTAAGGGTCGTATGTTTGTGGCCATGGAGTGGAAGGTCCCGGTTCAGTAATAGCTTCACGGGCGAGCTGATGGGCCAGCTCGTTGCCTTCGATTCCTGTGTGGCCTGGAACCCATTCCAATGTGACTCGGAGGTCTGGGTGGTCTTTCATGACCTTGGAGAGGTTAGTCTTTATGTGAGGTGGTAAATTGTTTTCTCTAAATGTTCTCAGGGCGCCCTGACTGTCAGAGCCGATTGTGATGTTTTGTAGCTGGGCGTTTTCTTGAATGGCCTCCGCGATGGCTTGCACTTCCAAGCTAGTGGGTGATGGGGCCTCGTGGTGTTTTCGTTTTGTTTTCTTCGTAGGGCCGGCTGTGGCCGTCGCACCTTCTTGAGTGTGGTGTAAGTAGACGGCATCGGTGTAGATGCAGTTGGTGGGTTCTGGTCGTTTTGAGAGCATATGGACCCTCTCTTGTCTTCGTTCTTGGTGGCGCTCCGGGTCCATGTTTTTGGGAATGGGTCTAACCATGATGTTTGGTATGGTGTCCCATGGGGGCGGTTTCGGTGGGATAGGGGGAAGTGAGGTGATGTCATATCCCAGTGCCTCAAGGATTTTTCTGCCGTGCTGAGATGTTTGGAGCCTTTGTATCTGGCCAATTTTGTGGATTTCCGTCTTTTCTTCTAGCGTGTTCATTAGTCCTGTGGCTTGTAGAAGGTGAAGGGGGGTGAATTTTGGAACGCCTAAGGCGATCCTGATGGCCTTACGTATGCTTATTTCGATTTTCGAAAGTTGCGTTTTAGTGGGGGTGTAGTATGGGAGTCCATACATTATCCGGGAGATAATGAAGGCTTCTATGATTTTCTTGATTTCATGCTCTTTTAGTCCGTGCCTTTTTTGGGTGACTCTGCTGATCATATGCGTAATCTGGTGCATCTGTACTAGGGTTTTGTGGACCCAATCGTGGGCTTTGCCATTCTGGTCCAGCCAAAATCCTAATATTCTGATTTTTTTCCTTCTTGGGATGGCGTGTCCTGATAGATTCAGTTGGATGAGGTCGCGGGTTTTTTCTGCCTGCGGTTGGTTGGAGTTGAGGACCACGACATACTCGGTTTTCTCTGGGGCGCAGGACAGTCCCAATGTGTGGATGTAGTTATGGACAGCGTCTAGGCCCTCTTGTAATGTATGTTCTTGTTGTGCTGGGAGCCGCTGCAGCACCATAGCGTGATGTCATCCGCATATACTGCTGATTGGAGGTTCGTGATATCGTGAAGTTTGTGAGGTAGGTCCTTCATGGCAATGTTGAAAAGCGTGGGTGATAGTATGGCGCCTTGTGGTACCCCGGTGGTAATTACTCTCTCTTCACTTTTATATTCTCCAATTTTGATCCGTATGGTGCGGTTGGAAAGAAAGCTTCTGATGTAGGCTTCTAATCGTTTGCCTGGGCTGATTTCAGCGAGTTTGTCAAAAATGGCTTGGTGACTGACGTTGTCAAATGCTTTGCGGATATCTATGCCAATTATCGTGCGAGTTTGAGCTGTGCTTGGATAGTCGTAGACGTCTTGTTTGATTCGAAGCATCGTGTCTTGTGTGGACACGTGTCTACGGAATCCGGTCATGGTCTGGTGGAAGGTTCCCTGGTTGTGCAGGTGCCACTCCAGTCGTCGGAGGACCATCTTTTCCATGAGTTTTCCGACGCAAGATGTGAGAGAGATGGGCCTTAGGTTAGTGATTTCGGTGGGTGTCTTGCCTGGTTTGGGGATGGGGATGACTTCAGCGGTCTTCCATTCATGGGGAATGTTGCCACTTTCCCAGGCTTGGTTAATCTGATTAAGGAGGGCATCGATGTAGTTCTTAGGCAAGTTCTTAAGCATCGTATACGTTATGCTATCTGGTCCGGGGGTGGTGTTTCGTTTGATGGAGTAGAGGGCTGTCAACAGCTCGTTTTTGCTAAAGGGGCTGTCTGATCCTTCCTGCGTTTCGGTTATTCGCGTGTCATCAGTGAGGGCGGTTTGACCTGGTCCCGGGTTGTATGGTACAGAATAGGGGTAGAAGAGTGTGTGGAGTTTGGTCGCCAACTCTTCATTTGTGTAGCCCTGTTTAAGTTTGATCTTTTCTAATGAGTGTTTTGGCTTCTTTTTGTCGAGCAGTGCGTTCAGTATGCTCCAGACTCTGGCGGTGTGGAGTTGGCCGTTGAATCCGTTACATAGTTCAATCCACTGGTCGTCGGCGATTTTCTGGGCGTAATTTTCAGCTTCCTCTGTGATCTTCTGAATGACCTTCTTGAGGTTCCGATTTGTTTTTTTCTTTTTCCATTTCTTAACCAGCTTGTGTCTGGTGTCCCATAGATTGAGTAAATGTCTATCTATGCTGGGTGACTCCTCTGTCTTGGTAGGTGTGGCAGTGTGTTTCTTGATGCTTTCTGCAATGTCCTTGACCCACGCGCCAAAGTTGTCGGGGGGTTCGTTTTTTTCTAAGTCACTTCGGACTTTCTCCCATTTGGTGATGGTCGCTTTGGGAAGGTTTTGTTTTGATTTGTCAGACTTCTTGCGATTGGTCGTGGGTTGGGCGACCTCGATTTGGAGAATGTAGTGGTCGCTACCTAGGGTTTCTTCGGTATTTGACCATGTTATGCCGGTGGGGTTGTTCGACCAGCAGAGGTCCGGGCTGGTGTCCTTCTCAACGCTGTTGCCGATTCTTGTAGTGGCAGTGACATTGTTGATGAGGTGAAATTTGTGTTGTGCTGTTTGATTGTGTAGTGTGTTGCCGTTGTGATTTGTATTCTCGTATCCCCAGAGTGGATGGTGACTATTGAAGTCACCTGCGATGATGATTCGATGACCTTTTGTTTTTTGAGCCAGGTCTCGGATCCACTGCGTTTTCGCGATCTTGGTATTTGGTCGCCAATATACGTTGAATAATGTAATTGGTTGGGATTGGTTTGGTGGCTGGCACTCGATGCCTACTATTTCTTGGTTTTGATCGTTGAGGTGATCGGTG